GACTGGAATTAGAGACTGAAAAGTCAAATATCGAGGTTTTGCATCTCTCCTCTCTTCTCTTACCTACGATCCTGCCCTGGTGGAGACGCCACTCCACTTTAAATGCCAGATGTTCTTTTCCAGCCATGATCTCAAAGGAAACATTCGACGCTGCACCAGAAGCTGACTTAGCCTCCGTGACTGTCCGCAGAAAAATGATGTCTGTTGGACACAGTGGTTTAAAGCTTTTATTATTCTGATAGAGGAAAGTTTCATAACTCCAGTATTAATGCTAAAATTAAACAATCATCTTATGGATATGTAACTGAATCTGACGACGTGTGGCTGCTTGGTAGATGGAAACTTTGACTTCACTGCAAATCATTTCAGACTTTGCTTTTGTAAGCTACTGTAAGTAAAGTCTGTATTGTAAGTGTACTTTTTTAACAAAATCCCTTAAGGAAATATTTAAAATCCTAGCATAAGGAGTTTAATAGAAACTGACACTAGTGGTGAAAATGCAGCCCCAAACTATTACAGAACGTTTTACTTTTTTAATTAAAGTCTTGTCAATCCATAAGGTCATTAACAACAGGCCTATATATATATATATATTTAGCCTTTTCTGTCTATTACCACCATTGGGGAAAGTCACAGTGAAGCTTTGCAATTCACAAATGCTGCCACAAGAGGCGCCATTCGGTATGCGGTTCCTCTGGCAATTAAACGCAGGACCTGCTGCATGTAATACACTATGGAACTATGGAGTCACAAAAAAAAAAAATAAATAAATAAATAAAATATATAGATTGTAGATAGTATGTTCTATCAGTTTTCAGCTAATTGTAGCTAATAATTTGGTGTCTGACAAACTGACTAAAATCTGAACATTTCTGCAGTCAATTATGATTTTAGAGAAATAATAATAATTTGCAAAGCACCATTAGTCCCATTGAGATGATATTGGCCAACCATCTCGGGACAAAAACAACAATATGTGCAGTGAGGAGAAACAGCTGGCGTAAAACGAGAGCTATTCTTAAAAATGACTAACGTATCACATTAACCAGAAAGACACGTTGTGGTTTAACTATAACAAATGAGTGGGTGGCTAAAGAAAATGCTAACATGTGTGACCTCAAATGTTTCAGGCTCTGTTGGAGAGGCACCCAAAACTAACAAATCTTATTTTCCGTATTTGTCGTACCCTCAGGTTCGGCGATGTCCACGAAGGACGGCAGGGAGAGGGCGCTGTAGGTGATGACGCGGACACAGTTGGGGGATGTACAGTCGCTGATACACCGCAGGTTGATTGTGGAAATCCTACTGTGTGTACAGTACAAAGAGGGGGGGTAAAAAGATGGGTGAACTCAGGGGTGATACTGCAGTAGAGTCTAAAGTTAGATGCACTTTACAAGAACAGTGAGTGAGAGAGAAACTCTCCAGCTGAGCTGAAGGATGAGGGAAAAAAAAACCCTGGCGACACCTTAATAGCTTCTTAGACCTCTGTGGTTAACCAAGTTAGGAAGAGGCCAAAATCCTGGACTAAAATACCAAAGGGTTTCCTGCGCATTAAGAGTCTGCTACAGCCATGGAGTGACAGTAATAACAACCAGGTGAGTTCAAACGGTTGGCTGTGACACAGAGGTCAAAGCAGCTGTGATCAACGTGTGGCCTTTCAATGAGAAATTGTCCTGGGATTTACAGAAAACATCAAACCTAGAACAGAAGTCACGTGATTTGAACAAATAATAAAAAATGTCCACTGCCCTGGAGTATTTATACATGTTCTTAATTAATAACTTCTCAAAAGTCCATAAATCCAACAGAGGTGCACACCACTACATGTTTCCTGATCCGCTCCATGTAGCAGGCTCAAGGCTTTGAAGTGGAAGAGAAGAACATTTGTCTGGTTGCATTTATCCAGCTGACCAGCAGAGCTCCTGGCCCTTTGGTATCGTTCACCGAGGATGTGCTGATAACCACCCAACACCAACACTAAAAGCACCATCCATCACAGCAGCTGTGACGCTGCCCCACCACTAATTGAGAGCCCACGCTGACCAGGGCCCCGGGGCCCATAAATAAGTGCCACACTTATTTTTCTTGCCGTCCGCGAAGGCGAGGTTTTTTTGATCGTATGGAGGAGCCGCTTGGACGGGATTAAAGGAAAAATGGGTTTCTACATTAAACGTGACCACAGCAGACGAAGCACCAGAGCGGGCGGCGGAAACCGTGGCCGGTGTGTGCATTAGATATTAAAAGGGAGAGAAGATTTTTTTTCAATGTCAATTTTTAATCTCGAGCACATACAAACAAATGGAAGCTGCCAGAGAAACGTGAGGTAGATTGAGATGCCTCTAATATACATGGAATGCCTCAGCTGCAACTGTATTTATGCAGCTGTAACAGCGCTTCAACAGCCACTCAGCTCCATCTAGTGGTGAAAGAAATGTTGTAAAAAAACATGTTTTGTAAGTAACATATAGTTCAGATTATATAAATTATTTGAAATAACATAATTTACTGCTAATATTATGAGGTGAAAAAAAACGGCTAAAGACACGAGTATTAAAAAACAGATATGAATATTTTTTATGAATTTAAGAGAGGCTGATTATCTAACAAAAAAGGAAGGTCGAACGGGCTGCTCCTGAGTGACAAACACTGCAATTTTAGCCATGTACAAATGCACCGTTCTGTATCGAATCAGCCTCATCTCCACGGTCAGAAAGTAGTCCCGGGGCTCAGACAGGACGTGCTGCAAGGAGATCACTCCTCCGTGGAGCTGTCGGTGTACGACGAAGACCCCCTCCTCGTTTCCCGATGTGATGTTCAACAGCATCTCGTCCCCCGGGATGGAATTGGACGGTCCCATGCGGAAAATGTCAGTGGGCACGGGCGTGTTGCTGGGGAAGCTGATGTTGTAAAAGGAGATTCTCAGGGGAAGCGAGAGACACGACGCCGGGTCCTGCGTGAACTCGCATGTAACGCGGTCGCAACGGCTGAAAAAGGGAAAAATAGAGGGACGGGCTCACTGAGTGGGGCAGCTGAAGAAGCGGGTGAGAAGATGTGTTCAAAATGAAGGTGCTAAAAACGGCGAAAGTGAAGTGAAGAACCGTCATCAAACCGAATTAGTAAAAATAATTTAAAAAAAGGTTACGGAACAGACTCTCCCCTTTTTGACCTACATGTGATTAGTGAGTGAGTGGGATGCATCATGCATCATGCACAGTCCAGGGAACAGTCATCATAACCGAGCGGCCGTCGTCTCTTACCCTTGTGTGACCTGCTGGAAGTTTTCTGGACACTGGAAGGACAGACATCGAAATCCTCCCTGGACGTTGAAGCAGCTCTCGGAGCCAGAGCAGTTGTGGTTCTCAGCTGCACACTCATCAACATCTGAAAACATATACACACACAGGGGTTATTGTCAACAGCTGACATGAATATGAGTCAACTTCCAAATTTATTTTTTATTTCAATTTAATATTTTCTAAGGGATTTTATAGAATAATTTACACCAGATATCATGTGGACGTTTGTCCACTAACCTTGACACGTGCGTCCATTGGGGCTGAGGATGTAGCCAATGGGAGGGCATGTACAGACGAAGCTTCCTGGTGTGTTGGAGCAGCTGTAGGAACACACGTGACCTCCAGCAGGAAGAGCACACTCGTCGATGTCTACGAGGAGTCGAGGACAACAACCTCGTCGATGTCTACGAGGAGTCGAGGAGTCGAGGAAAACAATTGGTCAGTGTATTTGTAGAGTAGTAAATACTGCTAGTATCTGATGATTTAAGACAGTGGTCCACAACCTTAGTTGTACTAAGGATCGTAACTGCGGACCAGTAGTGGTGAACTAATGGTTGAAGGATTTTCAAAATAAAACATCTTTTAGACTTTATTCTTTTAGTATCGGAGACATATTTTGTTTGAAATATTGGCAGATTATCTTTAAATGAAGAAAAGTAAATGGATCTGACTGAATGAAGTTAATTGAATAAAAATTTAAAGTACATTTTTTCACTGTGTCTCACTGCTGCCCCATATCAGTCTGCAGACCAGGGGTTGGGCACCAGTGTGACGACTGACAGTACAGTACCTTTGCACGTCACCCCATCGATGTCACTCAGCTGGTAACCACGGCGACAGTAGCACTGATAGGAGCCGTAGACGTTGACACACTCCTGGTTACAGGGGTTCTGCTCACACTCATTTACATCTGTGGAGACAAAGGCACCATATGTTGAGAAAAGCAGTGTTAAATTACACCCCCCAAACCCCCCTCCTTCCCCCCAAAAAAGCTCATTAATAAAGCTTAGTCATGATGAATAAAAGGGTGCCCACTCTACCCTCACAGCTCCTGCCGTCGCTGGACAGCTTGAAGCCGACGCTGCAGCTGCACCGATAAGAACCCTCCGTGTTCTCACACCTGTGTGCGCACAGTCGATGTCCCCTGCATTCATTGACGTCTGCAGGGACAAATGATGGAACAGAAGGAAAGGTCACCTGCTGTGATAAGTTACATAACGCTCTAATTCAGTGATCATCAACTGGCGGCATGCAGGCTGGATACGGCACGCCAAACATTTATTTATTTATTATATTTAATTAATAATGAAAAAAGTAATTAATAATGATAATTGATCGTAATAATTACAATTAAAAATACTTGAGTGTACGACCCCCTAGGTGTCAAATATAGTTGGTGACCTCCTGCTCTATATCAGGGGTGTCAAACATCTGGCCCGGGGGCCACTTTTGCTCCGTGAACCCTTCACATCTTAACTAGATGTCAAAAATAACTAAATTTTGTCATTAAAGTCATTTTTTAAAATTAAAATACTTTAGTTGGCCATTGGTTTTTAAATGTAATTTAATATATGATAATGTGATAAGGATATTATGATGTATGACATGTGTTCACAAAGACAAAACAGAGGCAGAATTTTACCAATTTCTAAAAAAAAAAACATCAGGAGAAACACTTTACCTTGGCACATTCTGCTGATGCTGTTGAACGTGAACCCAGCTCTGCACTCACAGCGGTACGAACCCAGCAGGTTTGTGCAGCCGTGGCCGACGCACACGCTGCCTGTACGACACTCGTCAATGTCTGAGACAAGAGTGTGAAGAAGAGGGACATCTCAGACACAACACTCCAAAAATCTCCACTCGTTTGGACCAGCACTGACCTTCACAGTGCGTGCCGTTCTCACGCAGATGATATCCTCTCCCGCAATAGACTATGTTCCTGCGACAGATGTAGGAACCCCGTGTGTTGATACAAGTGTGGCCAGCATGGCAGGGACTGTCGTTGGCCACGCACTCGTTTATATCTAATGAAACAAAATCGCAACAATGAGCAGAATTCTTCACTTTTATAATCTATAAAAAAAGTCCAGACTGACCCATGCAGCTGCCGGCAGCATCCTGAATGAATCCGGTGGAGCACGTCTCCTTTGGGTGGCAGCGAAACGACCCGGCGGTGTTGGTGCAGGTAAACTGTGGACCACAGTCGTGGGTCCCTAAAGTACACTCATCAATGTCTGCAACACAATCACTGCATGTCATCATATAAATATACATATAAATCTATATTTATATTGTATCTAAGCCCATTTCAAAACATATATATATATTATATGGACAAGCATCTAGGAAGCAGGGAAGTGTTTGGTGCTTGCTTAACACACCACAGCCAGAGCGGGATTCGAACCTTTGACCCTCCAATAACAATCCAATAACATATATACATGTCATCAACCATCAACAAGAAACTTGTTAAAAATCAAACAGCAAAAAATAAAATTGTAAACATAAACCGACAACAAACATCAATAATTTGGTTTGATGTCTGATCTTATTTAGTGGAAAATAACACATAAAACCTACAGTAATGAGCTATCGCTTGTATCCACTCATTGACAAGAGGACAACATAGGTGAATATCTATAGATAAAACCATCAAGGCATCTCTTTGATCCATAAATCTTTTTTTTTAGAACCAGATGATGTCACTTCCCTCTGTGGGATCAATGTGGGATTTTCTTCCTCCCTCTGTGGGATCAATGTGGGATTTTTTTTAATGACATATAAACTCTATATTCAAATGTAATGACAGGTTTATAGGGATCATATGATGGACATTAATACCTTCACATTTGTTGTTGTCCCTGAGTTCATACCCTGTGCCGCAGCTACTTTGTCTCTGACAGCGAAAGGAACCCTGTGTGTTGATGCACGTTTGACCGGAGACGCAGTCGTGACCGCCTGTGAGGCACTCGTTGATATCTGTGACATCAGAAAATTAAAAAAATGAAGCTTTAAAAATGAAGACAAATATGCATATGAATTATTAGTGTGAAGTGCTCTTTACCCTGACAGTTCACTCCATCACTCTTCAGTTGGTAACCGTCATGGCAGCCACAGGTGCCGTTCTTGCTCAGCTGAGCGCAGACGGAGTCTGAAAATATTGTGGTTTGTTAAAGTACGGGGTGTGGAGTTACAGTATGATACGTACTGTCAAGAACTTTCAACAGACCATCTTATCGTGAGCGAGTCTTTGGTGCACAACCATGTGATTAAAGTTGTAAACGAATCAAGAGATGATGCAGAAAAACCTGCTTTTTTAATCATCAGAGGTGTTGATAATAGAGACAAAACAAGGAGAAGTTTGATGGACTGTTATCAAGGTCTCATCTTCCGCAGTAGGGCAGTTGACCTTTAGTGAGACAGTGGTTTCTCCAAGGAAGCAGTTCATGTTGCATAGTACTTGTAATGATATTTTGAATTCTGGACTAACGTGCTTAATCATCACTCATTTATATGATACTATAGTTTTTTTCCCCAGTGTGAATTGACTTTTCTCCATGTTATTTCACATCTGTTCAAAAGCTCAAATATTTTGTAGAATTTTATTTGGCTTCCATTTCAAAGTAGTGTGTGTAAGTGATGGGCAGGAGACATTAAGATGAGCAAATGACTGCAATTTCCATAAAAAATGAATTGTATTTCTAAATTAAGTTTAATGTTCTTGTTTTATTCAATTGAATCAGAAAAACTAAATTTTTTCCTGCTGCTACACATTTGCAGATTGACGACTTTACGACTTAACTTACACATAAACAAAGGTGATATTTATGTTATAAAAGAGCCAATGAAAAATGCTGAGTTAGATACAGCTTTTTCTTGAGTCAGTACTTTATCACTTGGCTCCTTTTGCTCCACATTATTTACACAGAGCTGAAATGAAACTTTTGTGCTGTAGACAGTGAGGTGACAAAAGCTCTGACACATAACAGGTCACCATTTGGCAGCGAGACACTCAGTAGGTTTGTGTTTGTGTGTCTGTGTGTGTGTGTGTCAGTCTGTTTGTCCAGGACATTATCTGCTCCACAAGGCCATCAACGCTGCTCCATTTAAAACAATGGTGTCTCCAGAGATATGATGTCGACTAATGAAACCAAATGGCTTGTTCATGTATTTTTTTTTTACCTTCAGGCTTTGGTCGGACTTCTGTGGTGTTTTGGCTGCAGCAGGTTTTAGCCGTGTGTTCACAGCGGTCCCCCAAAAATAACTCCTGAAGATCGCAGTTTTTATTACGATCTAATGCCGACAGGCCCAGCATGCAGCAATCGCAACACGTCTACACAGGAAGAGAGGAGGGGAAAAAAAACAACTGTTAGCTTTGAAAAAAAAATAATAACAAGGAGCGTGTGAAGATCAGGGGAGAAGTCACCTTCGAGATTTGAGTCTCCCAGCCTTTTCCTTTGAAGAACGGTCGCTCACAGACTCCCTGATTTCGAGCGAACTCGACTCCGTGGTCACAGAGCTTCGCTATCTTCTCTGCTGTACAACACTGCTCCTGGGCGATACTGGGAGTCGGCAGGAATATATAAGACAGACAACAAAAGCCGAGTGGAGGAAACCAAGACATTACACAGACTCTCTTTCAGTGGGCTGGGGACGGTGGTCTTTGGGTTGGATGTTACTCCCTTAATTACTCCATTATTATTATTATTATTATTATTATGTGACACAGGTAATACCACACTCCAGTCCAGTAGGTGGCAGTAGTAGTAGGAGCAGTACGGTTATACCTCATTATTCAAATTAGTGGTTAATGTAACAAATACGACATTGTTAGAGATGACACTGGATCTTACTGGCTGAACTTTTTTTCTTTTTCTTCTTCTGGGAATGTTTTAAAACAACATCTGGGAATGTTGTTAAATTCACATAAAAAAGTTGTGTATTTTACCAGTGCACTGAACTTGTTAACTTGCACATCCTGTATTTTACCAGTGCACTGAACTTGTTGTTAACTTGCACAACATTTGTCATTTGTCTTTAGCGCCAAAAACCAAACAAGTTATGAGATACTGCTCACACACATTGCTGTTCTTTTCCAGTGTCGGGCGTCTGTACCAAATGTTTTGTCTGACCTCCATGTGTTGACCAGGTGTTCCTCCAGTTCATCAATCACCACCTCCACTCTCCCAAAAGTCAAAGAAGGCCCTCGAGTGTCAGAAATGCCCCCAGGAGGGGGCTTTTAACGCCTGCACTAACAACTGTTTAGTAGTTAAAACTGACAAACCTCCCTTCAAGGAGGACGGATGCCTGAGGGGCAAATAAACGATGTGCAGCTTGTTGCGCCTCAGGGTTTCTTCCTGCTTTTAAATATGCCCTAACAAATACTAGTATGGAGGCTGCAGACACTTCCCACCAGAAAACGTTAACATTCTAGTAAAATATTGTTCTGCATCTAGGCTCACGGAAGTGTATTTTAAATATTTTTGTATTTTTCTTTTAGCACATTTAAGAATAATAATAATAATATACAAAGGGCAAAATACTTTAGCTATCTTTTAAATTGTATGTGAGCTTAGCCTTGGTCACCAGGCGTTTCTTTTACCTGCAGGTGTGTGAGTGGGCAATGGGGGGCAGTATTGTACAGTCTTGTCCTCTCAGAGCTGCATCCCGTCCATTCTGACAGCACGTCTGTAAAGTGGGAGCCTGTGGTTCTGCAGCGTTGGAATGAGGGCCATTTAAAGAAAGAGGAGCATAAGAATGTAGTAAATTGTTTAAAAAAAAAAAAAAAGACCATTCCACTGCCAAGAGTTACTATTGGCATTTTAACTACGAAAAGGGTACAAGCCCACAAATAAAGGCGGTTACTTTTTGACCCCTGCTAGAGAAATTGATTGTATAAATTCGGCAAAACTAACTTGTATAAATTGTTTCTTTACAATCAATCACTTCAATCATCACTTCAAACTCCAGAAGAATTCATAAAGTTCTATCTATCTCTAAATATAATTGAATGAGATCGGGACGTAGGTATGTATGCATGTAGCACAGACTGACCAGTTGTTTGTCACTCACTGTTAATAAAATTGGCATCTCACACACTCGCCTGACAGAAAATTAATTAAAAACAAAACTGATGAACTTACAACGACCCGATAATATTAACAAACGATAACTGACATTTAATTATTTAGAAATATAGCAAATTTCAGGCAGAATAAATAAATTAAATTAAGTAAATAATCTCACCTTGTCCATGTAAAGTTGAGAATAATGACAAGACTACGGTGAGTATTGTCCACTGCGTCATCTCTGCCATTTTGATTTAAAATTAATACTCAAAAGGAGGACTAGAAGGAGGAGATTTACGAGGAGACCCTGCTCCACTGAACACGGGAAGGACATTAAGCAGGAGACGGGGCAGGAGTTTTAAAACTTGGCGTGAAATTGTGGGTGGAGCTGGAGGTGACACTTGACCACTGCCGACAATGACCGAGTCCTAGGACCACTTTGAGGAATACGAAGTGTGTAGGTATAAGAGTAAGGTCGTACAATCTTTACAAGTTAGTCTTAAATTATATACTTATTATCGTATTATTGAAGAACTCGCGTGTTTATGAGAATTATATTTTGTTACAAAAAAAGTATAATTTCATGAGACTTAAAATCTCATTATTACGAGAACAAATAGTATATTTAGAAATAAGACGTAAATATATATGGATTAAGTCCTACAAGTACGTAAAACTCGTAGTAATTCGAGAAAATCAACGCCGTAATACAACTACAAAAGCGCAATTTAAAAAAAGGTATACAATCTTAATACTGTATTATACTGTACTGTAATTATTAAAAACGATTCGGGGAAAGTCCTATTATGACAAGGAAAAAGTAATGACTCTATGAGAATAACTTATTTTACAAAAAATGAGTAATGTGGGAATATTCCGAAATAATCCTAACATTACGAGAAAGAAATATATTAATTACGTAGGAAAAGATTCGAAATATTACGTAAAAATCGTAATGTGACGAGAAAAAAATGTTATATTTCACTGGTGAAAAGTAAATTTCGTACTATTAAACCAAACAAAAGTCAGTTCTATGTAATAGATTTATTACAAATATTAAAATGCCACTGTTTTAATGCTCATTATTGTTGTTCATTCATAGTTGCTGCGTGGATCCAGGTCTGTTCCTATGTTAAGGTGCCATGCTTACATTCATTACCTCTTTTGAAATGGTCCAAAAGTTAATAAATCCATTGTTTATTAATATTAGGGTTCTTGTCAAGTAATACTGAGTGACACATTCGGGCGCAGATACAGCACGCTGTTCTCAGAAGCTGATAGTGACACAGTGTCTCCTAACTTATCTTGTGACAGGGAACAGCCAAATAATACATTTTATGATTTGGACAAAACAACTGTATTGTAAGAACAGTTCAGTTTCATCATGTTTTCTTTTTGATTGGAGTTTACACACTGATAGCACCAATATATCAGCTTTAAAAAAAAACTACAGTACAGCAGCCATATTTGTATGTATATGGCTTTATGACAGGAACTTTGACCAAAACCTATAAAATACCATTTGTTTACCAGTCCAGCAGCCATTAAACAAGGGCTTTAGCCTATGAACAACCGTCATGTGACAGAATTTATATTCAGTTTTAACACATGCATTGCCATCTAGTCTGATTGCATCAATTGTACATTTGCCTGATAATTTACACTTCACCTTCTATGCGTTGGCATCACAGAAAACTGCCCTAGTACGAAACCTCTGTACAATTTCACTAGTTTAAATGTACATCTACAGTTTCACGTCAACTGTACAAGTCCTGTCAGTGCTGTATTACCATAATCGTTACTACTACATGTATAAAATGGTACAAAAACTGCCTGCAGCAAACACCCATCCCCACTGGGGCAAATTCGACCAAAGAGTACAATCATCTATCACACACTCACACACACACACACACACACACACGCACACACGCACACACAGACACTCCATCTATCCTTCTTCCTGACTGGCTGTGTCTACAGGAGCCGACTCCTCCTCGTGGTTTTCAGGTGGTTCAACAGTTTTACAGTCTTCATGGAGCTCAGGGGTCTCCAGTTTTAAGGAGCAGGGAGCTCCTTCTTGTCTCGTTTCCCCACCATCAGTCTGAGAGCTCTTCACTGCCTCTGCAGGGGTTGTCTCCTCCTGCTGCACCTCCTCCATGGTTGCCACTTCTCCGTCAGCAGCCGGTTCACTCATCATCTTCTCCTTTTCCTCCTCGTCGTTTGCTTTTTCCACTGTTTCGAGCTTTTCTTCCTCTGCTGTCGCTGCCGTTTCCTGTTCGGGATCCAGATCCTCTTCTAGAGAGGGGATTCCCTTTCCCTCAATGTTTTGGGGTTCATCCTCTCCTCTGTGTGCCTCACCTTCCTGCATCATCTCTTCCTCTTCGTCTTCTATTTCATCCTCTAGAGGAGGGATCATCTGTTCTTCCCTCCCTCCTGGGAACACCTTGTCAGGGTAGACGACCTTCAGTTGCTCCTCAAAATAGTCCTCCAAGTAGAGGCCTGCACTCCCCACTTCTGAGGTCGCCTGGACAGTCGGAAGAAAATGATGGACTTTACATGTTCACACGGGAAAACTTTTTCATTTTTAAAATAAAACTGATGTTTACCTTGAAGTACTTGGAACAGTTGAAAAATATCAGCCGGACATCTGCAACCAAACCCTCTGGAGAAGTGTAACAGTCTTCCTCGGATTTTGACGCCAGTCTCCTCCTCACGATGGACAAGTCCATCGGTTTCTGGATAAGCTCTTTGTACCTTTTTGTCTCCTTGGTGAAGACAGAATGAAGGTTTGAATGACATTTACCGGATATTTAAAGTAGATTAAAAAAAGTTTCAAAAGTTACCGATTGAGACGCCGGCCCTTGGAAGTCAGTGCTGAAGTCGTTGCAGAGCAGACGCAGCAACAACCACTCACACTTCTGTGTTGAAATAAAACAATAACTGTTTTATTTAGGCTTTTTTTAGATGTTTAAATGTAACAATAACTGTTTTATTTAGGCTTTTTTGTTTGAATGTTTAAATGTTCTGGTGAAAGAGGCTCACCCTTCTATCAAGAGGCGACAATCCGTCTGAGGTGTTCTCGTCCTTACTGTCACAGCCGTACGTCATCTCAGGGGAGACCAGGTTTCGGCAGAGTGAACAGAACCACTCACCACTGAGACGTGAGAAGAGATGGGAGAAATAAAGTCCAGCGAGGAAAAGGAGAGGGACGAGTGTGTTGGCGCCTCTAGTATTAGCACTATTTAATACTAGAATTAAACCTGACTGTTGAATGAAATGACAGACAGAGTCGGAGTAGGAGAAATAAATAGACAGTGAGAGGAAATACTTACATAGAACAGCAGAGGGAGACATACAGATAACAGATAGAAAAGGAGAGATATAGACAGGGAGGAAAAAGGCTGAGGGAGGAAATCAGGGGGACAGAAGGGAAGGAATGGGAGAAAAAGAAAAAACAAAGAAAGAAGGAAAGAAGGAAAAACATCCATTCTGAAGACCTAATTTTCACTGTCCCTATGAAAACTGGTCCACAGTCCATCTCACCTGGGAGACTCGTTGAGGGAGGGGATGTGACAGGAGAGATGAAAAACTTTGGGACACTTGTCACAACAGAGCAGCTCTCCTCCGTTCTGACAAACAGCACACCAGTCCTCGTTGGGATCGTCCTCCGGCTCCGCCCGCTTCTCCGACGGTGCTGTTGCCGAGGGCTGAGGACACGGTTCTTTAACAGCACTGGACTCTGGGTTAGGGGCTGGATCTGGGACAAATGACTGCTGTTGTTGCTGCTGCTGTTGGTGATGATGTTGCTGCCGAGGCTTTGAGGGAGCACCTGTGCTGCTGTCAGGCAAACTGGACTGAACCTGAAATACAGATGCATTCAAAACCGAGATAAAGACTTCAGCTTCACCCAGTAATTTGTGTAATATGTGAAAAAAAACATTATTAACAAAGAGAAAGTTAAATATAAATAAATCGTCAAGCACTTAAACTGTGACAGTGTCACCTTTCACAAAACTCAGAAAAACAAATTGCTAATTCTTTCATACCAAAATGTGCCATTTTTGGCCCAAGATAATGACCTTTATTTAAAAAAAAAGTAAATTTTACAAAAAAGTATTCCTACAAAATGAACTTCATCCTCATCCTCTGGTTCGTCCTTGATGACAATTATTGGACCTGGAGAAAACCTCCTTCGTCGCTTGGCAGGCGGAGGATCGGGCGTCTGCTTCCACGAAGACGATCTTCATCGTGGCGATCATCATACAGAGAAGACATGAAAACATGTTCATCAGCATCATGTGAATACAGCATAAATGCAGTGTAACTGACACTCAGAATCTGTCTCTTACCCTGAGCTTCTGTCTGAAGATGAGGGTTTGGCTGCAGAAGAGTTTTGCCTTCCTTGGACTGGGGGGGAAAAAACAAAAACAAAACACATTTCAACACTTTTGAAGCCTAGAGGAAAAAAAGCAACCCAAATATTTATTTTGGTGTGAGACTTTTTGAAGTTTGGTCTTGGAATGCAGCCTGGGTACTCACCTGATACGTGTTTAAACGGGGCTGTTTTGTCAGCTGCCGTTAACGTCATACTTGGCGCTGAGCTCATTTTGGGGACAGAGATGGTGATGGACGGAACAGAGCCGCTGGCTTCAGTCCTTTTCAGGAAGGAGGATTCTGGTGCGAGCCTCTAATAGAAGCACAAAACCAATACATTTTAAATGCACTACCACAGCAGTGTGAAACAACCAACTCATTTCCTACCAACCTGGTGCAGTGAACCGTGTGCAGCCGCTCCGACAGACAGCGGATGCGGATATCGTGTGGCCCCCTGCGACACATCGGTGGGTTTGGGATGGAGGCTGGACTGATGGATCAGTTCTCTCAGAGACTAAATATGAAAACAACAGTGTTAGGAGAGTGGTTTAGTCATTTCTAAAAAATATTAGTATTGGTCATTTTAGTGGAATTATTCCAGGGACTGAAAGTGTGTGCAAACCGATAAGAGGCAATGATAAAAATTAATTAAAAATGTCTAATCTTTTTGTTTTTACGTAGCATTTCAAAGACATTTCTGTCTTCATTTGCTTTTCAGAGCACAATATAAGAGAATTTTACCTGAGCAGAGGAAAAGGCCGTGTTCTGAAGCATGGATGATGTAGGACTTCTGTTGGCGGAACTCCCAAACCTACGTCCTAGTTGCATCACACTCGTCGGTCCCTGGGACGGGGAGGAATCTCCGTTGATTGGCCTGGTGGGTGGTGGTGGGCCCAAGGGTCCCGGAGGTCTGATGTTTTGGTACCAGGACCAGTAGTTGGATGGGGGCTGTTGTCTGTGGGACTGTTGGGAAAGCTTGTCAACCTTGGACAGAGGGGTAGCCAAACAGTTTCATCAGCAATGGAAGAGGCTAAACTTTACAAATTGTACGCTCTGTAAACTGATAACAAGGTGGAGATGACAAGCTTTTCCACAGTATTCAACTGAAGACTTTCCCACTGCAAAATACCAGGATCACCGAGTACTTTACATGTCTTTCTGCTCTGTAAACATACGCAGCACTAATGAACTGTTGTATGATGAGACAGCAACTCTGTGGATTTGAGTTACTTTAAAATCAGTTCATCCCTCTGCTGAGGACAATTTAACCTGTAAGAAGGAATAAAAAAGGCAGTACCTGCATTTGGAGCTGGGCCAGTGTACTCTGTCGCTGCTGAGCTGAGAGGGACAGGCTGGCAGCTGTAGGCTCTGCTCTCGGTCCGGACTGATTGTTGGGGATGGGCATTCGTCCTGGGCCCCTTTCCACCATCAGTGAACCTGCACCACAGACACTGACTTTTAATAAACTGCTCTGAATTATTCTGGTGAACATTTTTTACTGGATTTTACAGTAAACTGATAAAGATAACATTGGCTGACCGATTATTATTATTATGTAATATCTGTAAAGATCGTTATCGGTTTTTCCTCCAATAATGAAAACCAATAACGCAATGCCTGGGTTTCGCTTAAATGATGTGTGCCCTAAAAATTTGTTTTGGGGATAAACAGCTGTATATTAAAAGGGAAGTCACTAGATGGCAGCATTGCAGCTCATTTACTTAATCTCATACTCATACGGTGGTTTGCACAGTTAAATCAATAATTACAATAAATATTATCAGGCCTTACAACGGTGACATACATGTTCCAGAATTTTGTTTATTTTTTCATGCATTCACTGTCATCTTATAAAGACTTAGAAATTTAAAAAAGCAACTTTTCTTTTTTCAGCCAATCAGCAGCATGTTTTCGCTTCCTATTAAACCTAACTTTGGGTTTCACAGTGATGGAACTCTCACCAAGATCGACATTTGTGGCCCAGAATCCGGAGCGACACTGAAAGCGAACAGAACTCTGTGGGATGACTGAGGGACTGCAGCCTGCTCTCATCAGGAAATGAATTTGGTAAAGAATCTGTGAGGGAATAAAAAAGTCAGCGTCAGCTTGAAATAATTTACTGGAGAATTCTGTGGGTGCACTCACACTAAGGATGTTGTACCGCGCCCAAGCGTGATTGCCCCCTAATTTCAGGGCTAATGTGAGTGCCATTTCGCTTGCCTTTGAGGTAATACGAGTGTGGGCCAATGAGGGACAGAGATGGAGGCAATTGACACTTTAGCACGACCCAGAACAACAAGGCCTAATGTGAGTGCGTCCTTAGATATTGTTGCGTAATTAGTCACGAAACCCACCAGTCTCTTGCAGTACAGGAGAGCCGTCCCACTATGGCTAGCCGTTGCCCACTTTGTGAAGCTGATCACATGGTCGAGGTGCTGACCCAGAGAGTTGACGTCGTCCTGCTGCTTCTTCAAACTGACCTCATGTTCTTTGGTGAGACCCTGGGTGTTAATGAAATGGTTCCAATATTTTAAAATCTGATTTTCAAAATGCAGCTCAGATAGACTCTTTGGTGGAAAGAAACAGATTATATAAAAAATATATATACCTCCAGCTGGTTCACCAAAATCTTTCCTTTCCTGTTGATCTCCATGATTAAGTTACAAATGGATTTCTTTATTTCGTTGGTAACAGCTTTCCGGTTTTCATCAACCTGCTGAAGTCTGGGAGTGAAGCCAGTAAAGAATTATAAGCCTAATAAAGTCATAGAATCATCCAACATGATTTACATTTTTATTATTGTGGATTAAAAAGATAATTTTTAAAGGTTAATGACAACTAGAGGGAAAATTAAAACTTTACCCAGAGTTGATACAGCAGGAAACATCCTCAACAGCTTTTCTTTTCTCTTGCAACTGCTGTGTCATGTTCTCCAGATATTGCTTGTGGTTCCTGTACGCATCCTCCAAAAACTGATAGCTAGAAAAAAAACACATTAAAGCTTGTCAGTCGCAATGGAAAACCTTTTTTTGACAGTGACGTGAATTCATGTCCTTGCGTATTTTCACTGAAGACTTAATCAAAAGGAGATGGTGCGACATGCAAGAAGGAGAAACATTCTTTAAAAGAATCACAACATTTGACATACTTATGATCTTTGTGCTTCTGCAGCTGACAGTCTCGACACGTGAGTCGGTCACACGTTTCACAAAACAGCTTCAGTGGCTCCTGTTTGTGGATGTCGCAAAAAACTGGCTTCTGTGCGGAGAACCCTGGAATTTCTGACAAACAAAGAAATCAAATTTAAAACGAACACTAATGTTTTATTTGTCTTTTAAGGTCAGAATGTGTTCTACAAGCCACCACCAAGATGCACACTATGGACTTAAAACCACCAACTCTATGATGCTACAAATTTGGTTAAACTTTTACATATTTTTCTTAACATTTTCCATAATAATAAGACCATTATTTGAATTAGTCACAAAAGAATATGTGAGACACCGATGTCTACCCGCTGATATGTGACTTTCTGTTCCAGCAATACACATAAAATTAAGTGTTTGTCATATTTATTAATCATTATAATTATCATCATGATAAGTACTGAATAGTCATAATGAACCCACAGTTACTCATATTATATGATTAATATTATATTAATCATATAAAAAATAAATTATTTGAGGCCCTTGTATTTAACATTAAATTAAATAATATAATAAATCATTACTAATAATTTCAACATTTAATTAATACAATTTAAATGTTTTCAATCAATCAATTTTTGACTAATTTTAATTAGTCAGCAGTTATTTGTACTCACCTGGAGACATCTCTGTCTTTTGTCGGATGGTGTGATCCCTTGTGAATTTTACCCTCTGGTGCGCCTCGATGCATGTCAAGCACAGGTACTCCACGCACTCCACGCAGTAACCTGTCACTTCTGTGTTGTCATCACAGCTCATACACAGCTGTTGAATGCAGATTTGGACAAACACCAAATTCAGAGTCAACGCTTGAGTCAGAGGTGCCAGATGACAGAAGCCTCAAGACATAAGGTCAACACTCACCTGACTGCTTTTCTCTACTGTGCTGCTTGGCACTTCAGCAGAGTCCTTGACAAAATAATTATCCAGCACGTCTATTTCCCAGCATTCTTGCCTGCATACAGGACATCGAATGGCACCCACTACTGAGAAAATAAAAAGATTTTTTTATGGTGTCAAGCGTCGTTTTCAACATCAGTTTTATAGGCCACAAACAGACAGTAACTGTGCAAATGTATTCATAGACCCATATAAATAATTACACAAAGACTTAATGATACTGCCAGCATTCTTAATGTGTCAGAAGGAATCCAACCACAGTACAGTCAAAAATATTTTTTTATGAAACCTAAAACAAAATAAATGTTTTCGTGAATTCCAGTTTGTTTCTTACGCGGTTTGCCGTTGTCCACTATAGCTGGTGAGTCTCTCCTCGGGTCAGCAGTCCTGAAGGGCGCCGGAAGACACTTCTTACAGAAGGAGTGGAGACACGGCAGCAGTTTGGGTTCCCTGTTCTGGAAGCTCAACTTGCAGACGGGACAGGTATCCATTAGTCCGAATGTGCCCTGCTGCTTGAGCCTCTCCTCCTCGGCAGGCAAACTTTCAGCTTCATTTTCCACAATGATGACAATGTCGTCGTTGTCTATATTTTCAGCACTATTATCCATTTCTGCCCCACGAAATGTGCTTATTCCCGATTCTCTGGGATCGATCGATCAATCAATCAATATTAGCGTTTCCACTGCTAACAGACGTCAGCCTTTCATTGTACATGAAAAAAACCATATATTGACAAAACTAGCGTTGTGTACTTACATACAACCATAACACGCAGTCGTTTCATTTCTACAAGACTCGGTATGGAACAGTTTATCAACTGTTTTCGGTAAATTGTTTCGTCTTGGAAGCTAAATTAGCAACATAGCTTGTTAACACTAAACACACTATTAGGTTAAGGAAACGGCAAACTGCTTAGGGTTTTACTTCCCCTGTTAACTGATGAAACATATAACCAACGCACCGTATTATTTTAATCTAAATTATTGTACATACATCATGTTTTGAAGCTTGTATATGTGAGAAAAGCAACCATTCTTCCCCTCGGCGTTCAAAACACTGACCATATTACCCACAGTGCATTGCGAAAGTTTAAAGCGACAGTGTGACGATGATGGTGTACCATGGAAATGTTTCCCGTTGTTTTTTGTTTGTTTAGTTGTATTTTCTCATTTCTCCTTGTGTTTAAATAAAATGGCAGATCTATAATATTATCTACACACGGATGTTTGTTCTAAGTTTTAAATAGCTTAAATACATAATGTAGCTATGTTCTAAGTTTTAAATAGCTTAAATACCAGCTTAAATATAGCTTTTTAATTACAATTAATTAAATAATCCAAGCGCATACTAGAAAACAAAATGTAACAGAACATATATGTCATTAAATATGATGATCTTGAAGAATTTGGTCTGTTTAGTTGAACAAAGCGCTGATGAACTTACAGCAACATATATGTCATTAAATATGATGATCTTCTAGTTTTGATTTACTGACAAAAAAGTTACTCAATGAGAAGAATTTGGTCTGTTTAGTTGAACAGAGCGCTGATGAACTTACAGCAATATATTTTTTAAAATGTGAATAAAGAAATCATTGACATTTATAGTTCTCCATTACATTACATTACAAATACATGAAAAGAGCAGCAGTTGAAACAGTAAACACACAAAAAACAAAACAATTAGCTGCAGAGCACTGACATCCTGGGAGGAGTCTGATATTTTTATTATTGCCTCACTCCTGGAGAAACAGCCATACCAAAGTCCACCAGAGGAGAACACGCTCCTCTGTCATCAGAGTGAAAAATAGAAATGGAGCTTACGGCCGAGAAGCACAGTGTTCCGCTATGTGATGGAAACAACATACCTCTCATAGGACTCGGCACTTATGGGAATCCCCGCACGGTAAGTCACTATATTTAGTCAATTTTTCTGCACAGGAACCAAAAACTTTTTAAAGTAAAAGCCCACTTCAAACCATCTGGTATTTATTTTGTCAGACCCCAAAAGGAAGTGCATATGAAGCAGTCAAAGTGGCTATAGAAGTTGGGTACAGGCACATTGATGGGGCTTTGGTGTATTTCAATGAACATGAAGTGGGACAGGCAATAAGGGATAAAATAGCAGATGGAACTGTGAAGAGAGGAGACATCTTCTACTGCGGGAAGGTATTGTGCAAAGTTTACCTACGTGATGTGTATGTCAGCTGTCAGTTTTCAAAAACTGAAAAATTGTGCTGATAAAATATATATATAAAAAATCTATTTCACCTGCACTTCCACTGCAGCTGTGGAACACTTACCATCCTCCAGAAATGGTGCGACCTGCGTTGGAGAAAACTTTGGAGGCATTACAGCTGGACTATGTTGACCTTTATATCGTAGAACTTCCAATGGCCTTCAAGGTGACTGTGTAATTACACAATACTTTGTCACAACCACTCTGTGTCACTTCAATGAAATCGTTTTTTTTTTTTTCTGAAGCCAGGGGATAATTTCTTCCCTAAAGATGAAAGTGGAAAGTGGCTTTATCACGAGACGGATCTCTGTGCAACATGGGAGGTGAGATGTGTGTTGATCAGTGCTGATTCAAAGTTGGGCTCTAGAGCAGTGTTCTATAGGAAGGAAGGAAAGTGAACACCTACTACTATATATATCCAACGAAGAACAGGTCCTGCTCTCTAGGTCAAGTAAGTGGACGTGTGCTGGCGCAGGTTTCAGTGATTAATTTTAAATTTGCTCTTGCTATGTGTGACAGAGGTCACATGAGTGAAAGAATGGTTAACACTTGAATCAACTGGGATCAATGGTCCAATCATTGACCTTTCAACAAACAGACGTTGCATGTTCAGGATCTGTTTAATGTGTTCACTCCAAAGAGTCTGAATGGTTGTCTTTTCCTGAATCTTCCATAAACCGGATGCCTGTCCAGTGTGTACAAACCAGAAAAGGAATAGGACACACCTAAGCAAACTATGGCCCGTGGTCCAGATATGGCCCGCTGGGCTTTCTAATCTAAAAACACTGGTACAATGTTTGGTAAAGGCTGATGTCAATTCTTCTGTTTCATGCATTACAACAAATCAACTGTAATTTTCAAAAGTTTAGGTTTATTCTTGTACATTTTATTTAATTGTTCCACCCCGTGTTCAACATCTAACTAACACTGAACCGGCCCACCTTTCCAAACTGGCAGTTACCGATTGGCTGTGAGATTTGGACCCAACTACTATCACCTGTTGATAGTAGTGACTGAAGGGATTCCAGGTTTGTTTTTTGTTTTGTTTTTTGGGATTCAAAACTATTTTCTCAGTGTAACATACACTGTTTAGTCACCTGCCAAACAGACCAGTCAAAGGATTGAGAGTATTATCTATGTACAATCTGTTCACATTAACATAGCATCACTATTAATAAGAATCTGAAAAATGTTTTCACAAAAACTCCCACAAAGGATGTTGCAATTGCAACTACCCTGACTGAAGCCAATTTTTCAAGATTTTCAATAATTTACTCCTGAGGAATGTGTGAACTCTTCTGAGTCTAAAAGCCAGATTATATGGCAGATGAGATGCTCTTGGCTGCACACAAACGATTTATATAAAATTACATTTTTACGCCTTCAATTTTTCATATCTTCACCAGAGCTGGCTCACCTCACTAACAACTCACACTGTGTACTCAGGCTTCAGTGAATCACTGTCATATTTTATCTGCAACTGTGGATTTCAACATCTGAAAAATTAATGTTCTGAATCTTTATTCTCAGGAGACACGCCTTGTTGGCTTTTCCTGG